GTCCAAAGTCAGTAATTAGTGTGATTTTTTTTTTTTATTTGGTGACATTTCAATTCAATTTTAATTTAAAAGTGCGGTGACTTGATTTTTGTTACCAGATGAATACAAAGTGCACACATTCAATTTAAACAAAATGTTTTCACATTATTTTTACAAACCAGTGTCTCTCCGCTCATCTGTGCCCGTTTTCTTCTACCATGATATGGGTTCCACCTCCACAATCGGCCACACAAGGATCATTACAGTTACTGACAGCTCCATGTGAAGAATAGTGGATTGTTATATACAATGAGGAAGGGGCTGCGTTGATGGTTGTTCAAGCTTCCATAGTCAATTGCTTTTGAAAGTGCTTTGCTTGTTTCAGATTCATTCAAATTCCAATTTGTCTGCTGCGGCAGAACACTGTAATGGGAAACAACATACTGAGGGTGAGAATGTTTTTTTTTTTTTTTGCTTTCTTGTGAAAAACTTGTCAAACTCGTGAAATAGATTGCCTATTTCAGCTGGACTGCTGCAGAGACTCAGAGACAACATACCAAACATACCATCCATGTCCACTAATGTAATTCACACAAAGCTGAATGGGAAGTGGAATTTAATAGTTGAATTCCAAATAATGCTATGAAGCTGCTGATGAACAGAGGAATAATTATTCCTCTTTGCACTTTATTTATATTTAATATGGACTTAAAACTGTTTTAAGTTGAAATTACTGAGAAAGCACGTGTCATATTGAAGTTACTGTAACTGAAGAGCTACATTTTAAAAGTGGCTGCACAACAAAACTATGTCATGAAATTTAAATTGGATGATGACATTTTTCCTGTTGGAGGTGGTGGGTGCATGTTTTTATGCCTCTGCTCCAGCAACAGCCGATGCCAGAAGCATTAGGTTTTTGAGTTGTGCATCTTTTCGTCCATCTGTACGGCTCATTCTTGTGAGCACAATATCTCAGGAATGTCATGAGGGAATTTCTTCAACTTTGGCACAAGTGTCCACTTTGACTCAGTGAGAAACTGATTAGATTTTAGTGGCCAAAGGTCAAAGGTCACTGACCTCAGATCTGTCCCATACCAGTGAATTTGACTGGTTGGTAGAAGCTGTAATTCTAGTTGTATGTGTGATGTAAGATGTGAGCAGGTATTGCACACATATATTTGAGGATGCATGTATGCTTCCAGTTTCTCACAAGAAACAAGAGAACGTCAGGTGTGTGACTCCCTGGTGATTTTGTTTCGATCTATGCGTTGCTTCCGTATCAAAGCACTGCCCTGAGCAGCAGTCATATATTTCACATTGAACACGCTTCTCAGAGTGCATATAAACAAACTCACACCTGACAATTGCTGATGGAACTCACAATGTCAGATGGCATTATGTTCCCACGAGGTCTGGTCTAAATGACCGACAGTCCAAGTTGCTCATTCTCTATATTTTCTATAACTGCCTCCTGTTCATGGTCACAGAGGCCACAGGAGCCAGTGGGCTGAATTCATCATAGTGAAGTGGCAACATGCTCTCCATGCCCTGTGTCTGTTGCACACACCAGCAGTAGAAAAGCCATTGCATGCAAACATTCATCAGCTTTGTCCAACTTCATTTACTGGACCTGCGCACAACATTGCGGTGTTTGCTCCTGGTGACCAGTTATGAAACGGAAACATGCTGAGACACTCTCACACCTTCAGTAAGTCTGGGAAAGTGATTCATCTTGGAAATGAGAAGACAGGAACTGATAGAAACAAAGGAAATTACTGTAACCTTTAACATGCAGCTTAAAACCAGTGCAACAACTTTTCATCACAAAAACCCTGTTTATCCACCAGACATCGAATTAACCGTGATTTTTTTCTACTATATTTTCTGTTTACCTCGATAAAAAGATATAATAAATGTCAGCAGCCATGTGAGGCTGTCTTGACCACAGCTAAATGCTAAGATCAATATACTAATATAATACCAATGATAATGCTAACACACTGATGTGTTAGAATGCTAACATTTGTTTATTATCACTCAAAATTAAATCTAAAATACAATAAAGTGGGCAGAAAGTGAAGGGGTCTAAATACATTCATTTGCCATTGAATAATCTACTGTATGTGATGAAAGGCACAAGATGCAGCTGAAAGCTCCAGAAGAAAACAAGTGGACCTTGAGTTAAGAATTTTAGTCATCACGTGTTTTTCAAGGTCAAGAATGAAACTTCAGTCCAAAAATATGATTCAGTTTAATTTCACTTCAAATGCCACATTAGTAGAATAGAGGTATTATGGATAAACAAGAATGCTGACAGAGCTAAATAACAGGCAATGTCTTTGCCAGTGGCAGAGGGCTGAAATAAGGAACATTCAAAGACTGGGATAACACAGATTAG